CCCCTTGCGCTCACATTTGCTCTCTGCTCGCTTTTGAAAACGCCTTTTGGCACAGTCGCCTGGCAACCTCTCAACCAGTAGAATGAAAGTGTACTGGGTGCATTTGGTTCCTTCTAGCGGGTTGCCTCTGTGGCTGCTATCGATTGTAGCAACCTGCACCACCCACTGGATGTGGGGAGCTGATTGGGTGAACAAATTCCTGCCTAATATCAGAAGGCTGTTAGTGACCAGTAACTCACTGCTGGCGGATGTTTAGTGTAACACGAAGCAGGAAGCTGTAGCCGTTATTTCTCCCTTCATCCAGTGGGTGGCGCAGGTTCAAACAGTATTAAAAGTTTTGAGAACAAAAGACATGAAATCCTGCTTCCAGACTGAACATTTGTGCTCTTGGATTATAGCAGGAAAATTCCCCCATAGACTCACTTCACACCACAACTTTCACTCAAAAAGCTAACATGAATCACAAACCATTAACACAGGAATATCTAACTAAAATAACTATTTAACAGTTCAGTGATATGAAGAAAATGACTCAGAAAAATCTGAAGTTTACACAATAAGGATGACAATTGATCAGTGAACCCCAGGGATTTTCTGTTTTTACATAGAAATAATAAATTTCACTTTAGTCCAGTCAGAGTTTGGACTTGAATATCATAGAATCTGTGTGGCAAATTTAAGATTTGATAGCAAGGATCCCTTCCAACCAAGTTCATCAGCAAAGGACATTTGTCTGATTAACACAAGAAACATTAAAATTTGGATTTTCTGTAGTTGAAGTCATAAAATTATCATTTAAGAGATCGTCCTGTAAGGAACAGTTTTAGACAAAAATCTACAGTTGTTGAATATATGACAGTTAATTCATTAAGTAAACTACAGCTCTGAATTAAAAAAAAATAATCACAATATAAATCAAAATGTAACAGAATGTTCAAGAAAAGGTCCTTGAAGGGCACAACTTATCTATTTGGAGAGTTTTTTTAAATCTTCAATTAGTTTTTAAAAAAAATATGCCAATTCTCTTGTTTACTTTAGATTTTTATTTCCAACGGAGCAAAACTCGTCCATCTGACAGAGCAGATGTTGCTCGTCTTTTCAGGTAAGAGGTTAATTAGCATAAACAATACGGTTAAAATATTTAGCAAAAGTAATTTAAACTAACAAACTAAGCTTTGAATATCTATAATATAATTATTGTTAAGTTGGTAGCTTACTGTGTCTTTTTGTCATTTAAAGTGTTGGAATGTGTTTAGGTCAATGTTGTATGATGGACTGTCAGCTCTATCAGTTTCACTACATTAATGAGAATAAGACCTGGACTGAAGCTCAGCAGTACTGCAGAGAGAAACACACTGACCTGGTCACAGTGACTAACATGAAGGACA